CCATCTTGTATGATTTGTAATGTTGGGTCATTTTGTATGATTATTAATATTAGGCCATCTTGTATGATTTGTAATGTTGGGTCATTTTGTATGATTATTAATATTAGGCCATCTTGTATGATTTGTGATGTTGGGTCATTTTGTATGATTATTAATATTAGGCCATCTTGTATGATTTGTAATGTATTGGCCATGTTGTATCACTGGTAATGTTGGGCCATCTGGTATTGTTGGCAATTTTAGGCAATCTTGTATGATTGGTAATGTTGGGCCATCTGGTATTGTTGGCAATTTTAGGCAATTTTGTATGATTGGTAATGTTGGGCCATCTGGTATTGTTGGCAATTTTAGGCAATCTTGTATGATTGGTAATGTTGGGCCATCTGGTATTGTTGGCAATTTTAGGCAATCTTGTATGATTGGTAATGTTGGGCCATCTGGTATTGTTGGCAATTTTAGGCAATTTTGTATGATTGGTAATGTTGGGCCATCTGGTATTGTTGGCAATTTTAGGCAATTTTGTATGATTGGTAATGTTGGGCCATCTGGTATTGTTGGCAATTTTAGGCAATTTTGTATGATTGGTAATGTTGGGCCATCTGGTATTGTTGGCAATTTTAGGCAATTTTGTATGATTGGTAATGTTGGGCCATCTGGTATTGTTGGCAATTTTAGGCAATTTTGTATGATTGGTAATGTTGGGCCATCTGGTATTGTTGGCAATTTTAGGCAATTTTGTATGATTGGTAATGTTGGGCCATCTGGTATTGTTGGCAATTTTAGGCCATCCTGTATGATTGCTTATGTTGGGCACTTGGCATGATTTGTAATGTTGAGCCATCTTGTATGATTCGTAATTTTAGACCATCTTACATATCTTATATGGCTGGTAATATTTAGGCAACTTGTTTTGATAATTACGTTTTGTTCCTATTGAGAGTCCCAGTTAGGGTTAGATTGGCCTCTTTGGTTGTGTCTGAGCGCGGTGTCTGCCATAAAGGTAGGACATTTTGTCTGCCACAAAAGTAGGACATTTTGTCTGCCACAAAAGTAGGGCATTTTGTCTGCCACAACAGTAGGACATTTTGTCTGCCACAACAGTAGGACATTTTGTCTGCCACAACAGTAGGACATTTTGTCTGCCACAACAGTAGGACATTTTGTCTGCCACAAAATTAGGACATTTTTGTCTGCCATAAAAGTAGGACATTTTGTCTACCATAAAAGTAGGACATTTAGTCTACCATAAAAGTAGAACATTTTTGTTTGCCATAAAAGTAGGACATTTTGTCTGCCACAACAGTAGGACATTTTATCTGATATTATTTTTGCCTCCGAAGGCCGCTAGGAGATAACTGCTATCAGTTTGGCATTCTCAAGCAACAAATCTACATAAAGATGTCAATGTGTAGACTACTCATGTCTTTTGTTAGTTTACCTGGTGTTATTGATAGATGTGACTAACATAAGTCTATGTTATGTTGTATTATTTTTATAGTCTACAATGTATTCCCCAACATTACTAATTTAATGACAATTTTAAAGGTCAATTACATTACTAAATAATCAGTTTCATTTATTTGAACCGAATGTTCATACAAGAAAGAAACTACGACTAGACCCACAAACTTAACATTTTTTTTACTGCACTATGAAATGAAAGGGGTTGTGTTAGGGTTGTTTGCTAAGGTCTGCACCATATGTTGTGAGCTGCGTACACTTGCAGCAATATAATGTGTTATGGGGCGTGTAGGTCCGCGGGGGTCGTCCATAAATGTCGTCACACTCGTAGGGTAGAGGGGGGGGGGGGGGGAGGGGGTCCCGTAATTTTGTGACGGTGTGTGATGAGAGGGAGGGAGGGGGGGGGGGGTTCAGATGGTGCGCCGTCATACTTTTGCATTATAAAAAAAGCAATGTTAGAAAACGAATTTTAGACGTTTTTTGCGTTTTAAAAAACTGTTTTAATAAATTGTAATAACAGTTGATTAAAATACTCTATTTTGACATAGTTCAGACAAGATTTTGGAAAAATATAGCTGTTTAAAAAAAATTCAACTGCAATTTTGAGGGGGGGTTGTAGGCTGAGGTGTGACGTCATTTTAGGGGGGGGGGGGGTCTGGCTTTTTGTGACGACGTGTGACGGAGGGGAGGGGGGAGGTAAAAATCGTCCAAAAAAAGCGTGACGTCATTTATGGATGACCCCCGCGGTCTGCCATGAAAGCAATACATTTTGTCAGAAACCAACTAGTCGGGCATACATTAAGGCCTTTATCTTTAAATTTTTAGAATTGTTTTAAAAAAAAATGTATGTATAAATACTACAAGTGGAACGAAGTTTTATGTTACAAATTCAATAGATTTGTTTAGTTATTGATATTTATTTTGTTACTTCCCCTTAAAGATTTAAGATTTTTAACAATATTGTTTTTGTTATCTCCCTTTGATAATAACTTGACAAGTTGTCTCTGGCAATACAACCGCTTCATCCGGTGTTTGCGTGGTCAGTGGAATTCACATAACGACCATCCTGTTTGAATCTGTTGACAATTGATGTGAGAAACACGTCGGATTATATACTTCACTACCTTCTCTTACTAATTATTTATCATCCTGATATCTACAATAAGGCTAAAAAAAATTTCTTTGGCAGATTTTTACACTTAAATGTTAATGTTTCTGATATCCCATTAGATTCTGATTACCCACTCAGAAAATATACTTGGCTTAACCCTCGTATAATTCACATGATCCTACCTCAACTTTACAACATCCAGCCCAGTCCAACTTATATCAATCACAAACCCACTAATCACTACGCAATCCCACACTTACACACCTAACTCGTCACAATCACACATCAGTCCCACAATCACACACCTCATTCAGTCACACAATCACACACCTTACTCACTCACACATTCACACATCTCTCTCACACACCTCACTCAGTCAGTCACACAATCACATACCTCACTCAGTCACACAATCACACTCCTCACACTCCTTACACAATCAGAGACCTCACTCAATCACACATTCACACACACCAATCAGTCACATTCACACACACAATCAGTCACATTCACACACACACACCAATCAGTCACATATCACACTCACTCAGTCGCACAATCACACCCCTCACTCAATCACAGAATCACACACCTACCTCACTCAGGCTAGAGCATGCCCCGCCCACACACGTTTCCCGATGCCATCCACACACCCCATTAAGTGCAACATACACACACAACCCAGCCGGTCACACACACACACACCCAACTCCTGTCACACACACACCCAACTCGTGTCACACACAACCCAGCCGGTCACACACACACACACACCCAACTCGTGTCACACACACACCCAACTCCTGTCACACACACACACCCAACTCCTGTCACACACACACACCCAACTCGTGTCACACACACACCCAACTCCTGTCACACACAACCCAGCCGGTCACACACACACACACCCAACTCGTGTCACACACACACCCAACTCGTGTCACACACACACACACCCAACTCGTGTCACACACACACCCAACTCCTGTCACACACACACACACACCCAACTCGTGTCACACACACACCCAACTCCTGTCACACACACACCCAACTCTTGTCACACACAACCCAGCCGGTCACACACACACACACCCAACTCGTGTCACACACACACCCAACTCGTGTCACACACACACACACACACCCAACTCGTGTCACACACACACCCAACTCCTGTCACACACACACACCCAACTCGTGTCACACACACACCCAACTCCTGTCACACACTACCCAGCCGGTCACACACACACACCCAACTCCTGTCACACACACACCCAACTCCTGTCACACACAACCCAGCCGGTCACACACACACACACCCAACTCGTGTCACACACACACCCAACTCCTGTCACACACACACCCAGCTCCTGTCACACACACACGCAACTCCTGTCACACACACACCCAACTCGCGTCATACACAACTAACCCAATCACCCCCTCCCACACCCACAACCTGTGTATCACACAACGCCCGCAAACACTCACACACACAATACCTACTGAGAGAGCACCTAGCACCAGTTTGTCTTGAATATTATATTTTAAAAATTAAACTTCTCTACCTCCAAAAAATACACACCTAGTAAATAAAATTAACTAAGCAATTATTTCATAAAGTTCATAAGTTCTGGTTGATTAAAGTTTACACTGATTGATTCATCAAATTCCTGCTCTTGTATCAGCCCGTGACACACCCGTCACGTGATATGACGATGGTTGTTGTATATCTTCTTGTCACAAACATCCTCAGGTACCAGAGTGACGGTATATACCGTTACATCTTTTTTTTTGGGGGGGGGGGAGGGGGTGCTTGGTCAAAGGATTTACCTAATCACTCACGTATTTTGATTACATTTATCACAATTTTATATATATTATAATGTTGAATTGATGTTTGCTTGACAAATACTGCAAGTTAATACATAATATGATATTTTAGATTATATTTTGCTCTTTCTTAAAGTTCAAATAAAAGTCACGATATTTAGACATTTGCCTTCTTAAAGAGTCGAACTCGGTTGGTATCTTGCTTGAGAAATGAAGGTTAACAAATTCTGATAATCAACAAATCTGAACGAGATTAACCTAATTTTCCATGAGCTGTCTAACCTAATGTCTCTACAAAAATAAACTTTGCGAATGGCAATAAAATGTTTTGTGTTTCTTAATAGCTAAAAACTCAACTAATAAAGGGGCAAGCATTTATTGCAATGCATTAATTGATGCTTTCAGATTAACAATTTTTTTTTTGTGTTAACTTGGTGAATTTGTGTCCGAAATTGTTGCACATTATCAATGGATGATTGGAAACATCCCATTAATTTACGTGGCGTTGATGTTGTTTTTTAAGTTATATAAATACAACATTAGAGCTCATTTTAATAATGAAAATAAAAGCAAGAAGACGATTCGAACAAGGCTCAAACTAGTTTATGTCATGGTTTGTCAGTAGCAAGACACAACGTTCCAAAAACAAGGCCGTTGGCGCTTCTCAAAGCGTGGAGACGGCAGTAGGCTTGATAGTTGGGTGGCGTCCCTTACTTGATCCAACTCAGAGTTGTCGTCCTTAGAGAAAGGTTCTTTCATACGTAGAATCCAGTTGAGCAGTCGAAGGTCATTGGCTCTTGGCGCATCCAATCCAAGGCCCTAAAGTAGACAAATCAAGAAAATATATTAAGACATTAAAACATTAAAATTGGTATTATAGAGCTGGTTGCAGTTAGAAGTATAGTAAAGAATTTTAAAAATGAATGCACAACTTTTTAGTAACATTGTATGGTCTTAAAATAATTAGTCGAGTCACATCAAAATGTGACGGTGCTATTTTTTGTTCTTTTATCACATCGATTTCTTAAGATTAAATAAAACTGGCTAGAAATTCCATCCTATTATATACAAGCCCATGTGCGCATTTCCCTCTCTCTTTCTCAGTCCTCAACATTTTTGAGGCTATGTGATCAGCATGTTCAGCAATATATGGAGAACTTAAAGATACGGAATTTTGTTCAAAATAACATGGTGGAGGTTTTAAATGTATAAAATTAATTTAAGGAAGGAAAATAAAATTAAAGGCATATTCGATTGTAGAAACACATTTTATAACATGCAACCGGAAAAGTGTTTATTATTGGCAAAAACGCAATAAACAATGACGTAACATGTCACATTTTTAAACAGTGGAAAGAACACAACACTAATGACTTCATCTTCCAATTTTAGAATATGAAGAAATGAACTATTTTAATTCGATTTTGATTTGGATCTATTGATTTCTAGATCTACTAATCAAGAAGTACTCTATGATTTGTATACAATTTTCTCTGCCAAAAGTAATACAAATTACATTTTTAAAAAATACCATTGAACAGCCGGGTTTTTAACGAAATCATTTGTCTCTTAATCAGTGTGTTCATTTAATATGGTGTTATGTTGACTAATATTGTATACAATTTGGTTTTTCTAATAGGTATTGGTAGCCTATGTTATTTTAAATGTGTCGTATTTTTAGATATTTAGTTTATTTCTTTTCTTTGTCACTAATATCGTTCAACGTGTAGTAAAGCACATTGCGTTTCGACCAATAACTATTATACAAAATATTTTTCTTGAGAAAAGGTACAACATTAAAATATATAGGCCTATAATTCACGTGTAACGGGTATCGACGTCTAGTGTATTGTAAATGGCCTTATTGTATTTTATTTTCCGTTCGCAGTTTTAAATATTTTTAAAATTATTATTCAAACTTTTAAAAAATTATTTCGTGTAAAGCAAACAAACAACCTTTACAAATGTTTAATTTTGTCAACATATTTACAGCCTTTAGTGTACGGAGTTAATCCTTGGATTGTGGGGCAGTACACATGAGCATTCGATACCACTGGTCTAAAAGAATGAATTGTTTACACAAGATTTGAATACAAGACACACACTGTGTAGGTCAAGGTAGACGGACACACAAGACCTAACACACGACACATCAGTGTTACTCAACAGGGTGAACTGTGTCCTATAAACCACAACACGTACGTGTCACTGTGTAGTAAGGCAGAGATTCTCTATCAAGCGGGTCATAACACGTTATGCTGTAAGGATCATTAGCGATCACCAAGGATATTTTGTAATAAAAGGGTGAACACATATAATCAATCATTTTTTACAGTAGGACACCCTCTCACTTGTTTTAATTTAAACAAAGTCAAGATTTTGGTGGTTTGTTTCTAAGATTTTGAATACCTTCACAAAAGAACTTCCGAAAAATAAATTACTCTCTTTGTTGTGTAACATACAGACATATTTTCAAAACGTACGTATAATATTGACACGTCTATAGATCTATAACAAATAATACATTTGTTTGAGGAATCGCTTACCACAATCTAAACAGAATGTAGCACAACTCGATAAGGCTACTCATGTTTTGGTGACCGTATCAAAAATGTCCATCCGTTGAGTTACACCACACTGAGATATACAACAACTAACACCCGGCGCTTATAACCGATTGTATTAGTGATGGATTGTTTTGACAATGTCATGATTTTGATCAAGAAAACAAACAAGAGCATAATGGTTGTAGTCTGTGCCAAGATTTTTCAGGCTTATTGAAAAGTTAGTGACAGGTGGATGGTTACCGTTTACTATGTCGTGTAAGAACATTCTAGAAGCGTCTTGAAAAATTTACTATTAACAAGAATAATTATTAAAAGAATAAAAAAAATATCTTGCTTAAGTTTGCCGCACTTTGAATGAAATGTCCTGGGCAAAGTTAATTTCTTGTAAGGAATCAGAAGCCTTCTATCTAGTTAACTCCTAAAGCCATGAAAGAACACGCTAGGATAAGTTAAGTCGATCACTTAAAAGAGGCGACTAGAGAATTACATGCACCAAACTTGTCAGCAGTGTTTCTTCCTGACTTTTTTTTCTCGGGGGGGGGGGGGGCACATTAAATTTTCATATATATAATATATATTATTGATCGTTAGCTTTGAAAAACTTAATTAGCATCAGAAATAAAAACGATATTCAGCAGAACGTATCCTATCATATTCTCAACACATAATCATATCATTCATAGGATAATAATAATGAAAGCCTGTAAAACTAGACTGCCTAATAATATAAAACTATATATATATATATATATATATATATATATATATATATATATATATATATATATATATATATATATATATATATATATATGTATGTAGGTATGTATGTATATATATATACATACAATAGCATTCTGCGGCTTAAAATAACAACACCGATGTTTGGTGTGAATAATCTTTATTGATTGATACAAACTTTAAAATGTTTTCAGGTACAATCCATCGGATTTACACGATTTCATGTGTACAGTTGGGTGTACATGGTGTAATGGTTTCTTAGTGTACAAAGGTGTGTACGTGGTGTCATGGTGTCCAGTGTTGTGTAAATGGTGTATTAATGTACACTGGTGTGTGGGTCCACCTTCACACCGCTCCGGGTTCTAATCCGTGTGGTACCCCTTGTGTATTTTCCAAGCCAGGTCGCAGGCGGCGTCCCTCTCCTCCCCCAGGGGGCCGCACCCCTCCGTCTCCGGCACCACGACACAGTTGTTGTCTTCATACAGCACCTGCTTGCTCAGACACTGCCACCACTCCGGCAGGCACTGCTGCAGGAACTGCTCATACTCGACCCTGCAGGGGCTGGCGTCACCATTGGCCTGTGCCTGGCACGTCTCAAATGTCTGTCTCAGAGTCTGACAATTCTCATCGTAGTCGGCACGGGCGCCTAGTACCAACATGGCGGCTAGCATACACAGTGTGATCTTCATTGTCAGTGGTTTGAGGTTTAATCTACGTAGTAAATACATTTCAGTTCAATTAGGTGTACTTTTGGAAGTATAAATGTAACTACATACACCCGAATATATATATATATATATATATATATATATATATATATGGTGCCCTGTCAAAACGGCCCGGGACAAATCGACCCCGTCAAAACGGCCCCGTTAATACGACCCCGTCAAATCGACTCCCGACAAACCGACCCCGTCAAAATAGCCCCGTCAAAAGGGCCCCGACTTATTGGCTCCCGTCAAATGGGCTCCCGTCATATTGACTTGCGACATATAGGCTCCCGACAAATGGGCTCCCGACATTTGGGCTCCCGACAAATGGACTCCCGACATATTAACCCCTGACAAATAGGCTCAGGACATATTGGCTCCCGACATAAGGGCTCAAGACAAATGGGCTCCCGGCAAATGGGCTCACGACATTTTGGCTACCGGCAATTGGGCTCCCGACATATTGGCTTTTGACAAAATGACTCCCGACATATTGGCTCCAGAAAAATGATTGATATGACCACTATTGGCATAAAAGTAACCATTGTGTCCTACCTCCAATACCACCATAACCTCTTTTTAATGCCCGAATGAAATTATTTTTTCATGAACCAACATTAATTCACAAACAAATCGAGCCCTTAACAGCTAAATTCCACCAATTCTAAAGTTTTGATAATGTTTAATTTACAACAGAAAAGATCTGTTGCTTAAAAGCGAGCACAGAAGTGTAAATGTATGATATACATGATGTTAACATGATAACAGCATTTTGTTTTGATAACCTACAAGCACAGTGGCGTAGCGAGGTCGGGTGTCACCCGGTGCGGCACTTAATGGTGTCACCCCCCCCCCAGAGGCGTTGCGACCCTTCCCGGGGACAAACTTTCAAGTTTTCGATTTGCATCCCCCCCCCCAAAACTTTCGATTTGCACCCCCACCCCCTCAACTTTTTCTCTATATATTTTGCTATTTTTTGCCTTTGTGTCACCCCCCTAAATGGTGTCACCCGGTGCGGTCCGCAACCCCCGCCCCTCCCCTCGCTACGCCCCTGTACAAGCATATTGCAGTTAGGAAGGTACAGCGTGGACCCTTCTCCCCACACAATGAGTTGGAACAGCCTATAACCGACTCAATTATGGATGTCATAGATAGATGACCCTTAAATTAAAACATACTGTATTTTATAATAGATAAACTAATATAAAAATAAGGCCTGCCGAACAAGAGATGCATACGTTGTATTACATAAGAGTGTTGGATAAGCTAACTCTAAAGAATATTGATGAAGGGGTCCCACTGGCAGATGTCATATTCAATGAGACCGCTTTGCCGGGAGACTTAGTCTCTACAGAAACGGTATTGTCAGTGCAGTGGCGTAGCTAGGATTTTTGGGCCCCTATGCAAAAATTATCGTCAGCCGTTAGGCCAGTGGCGTCGCTAGGTCGGGTCTCACCCGGTGCGGCACTTCGTATTGTCACCCCCTCCCAGGAAACAAAGCATATATATATATATATATATATATATATATATATATATATATATATATATATATATATATATATATATATATATATATATATATGTGTGTATATATGCCACATACTGGTACACGTACGTGTTTAAGCTTTAATCACTGCTGACTTAATAGTAACGATGTTTATCTACAATCTGTTTATAATACAGTTGGATGTAGCATTGTTTTCTTTATAGTTTACGTTTACGTCGTGGTGTCACCCCCCCCCTCTTGATATAATTTTCGATTTGTACTTAGAAGACTATTTAACTTTAACTAATGGAT